TAATTTGCATTTATTATATTATATTGTATTTGAAATGAATTATTGCTAGTTTTAACTGGCATTTCAATTGCTCAGAGCATTGGGTCTTTCAGTCAATGCGCTAATTATTATAAAAGACCTTTCCTTCTCCGCTGCCAAATGTCATCGTTATTATTATTATGATTAATGTTATTAAACAATTATATAAGAAGAATAACCAAGGCAAAGATTTGTCGCCAAACATAACTTTCATAATTAATTAATTTTAATTAAAATTTCTCTTATTTGACAGCATTTTAATTTAAAATTGCAATATTTTATATTTTATTATTAAGAAGTAAACACAAAATAAGTCGATTTTTCATTTATTTTGGTTATATTCTATAAATTTTATTAACAATACTTTACAAAAGGGATAATAAGTTAAATTTTTAAATAATTTAATAATACACTAAATGAACGGAAAAAATATATTTACAAAATGTAAGGAAATTACAGAATATTCTATTAGTTTTTATATTAAAATAAATGAATCGCTTGTAAGACCTATTGGTGACAATCGACTGATGAAAAAGTCTATGTATGCGTGAGTTTATAGTGATTATAATATATAACATATATAGCGAACAGAATATTAATATAGAGTACAATATTAATATATATAATAGATATATAACAACACGACTACTAAATATAGATTTTTAGTTTCCATTGCTATGGGATTCTCGAAAGCAAAACACATCAAACAAATGTTTGCGAATTAAACTTTGTTTCACTAAATTCACTGTTTATGTGGTGTTCCCAGCATTTCATTAAACATTGAGTTCACACCATAACATACCATACACTTCAACCAAACAGTTATATTTACAATACATTTATAAACATCTCTTTCTGGCATTGTATGGATAAAAGTAGTCGTTTTCTTAATTTGATTGCATTAATAGATATGTAAATTATGTAAAAATTTTAAATTCTGCGACTGTTTTACATAAATGTGATTATGTTTTTCAAAACAAATGTTTAGTCATTCGTAATAATTATAACACAGAATATTCTCAACATTTTAAATACATATAATTTATTGTCTATATATGTGTGTATGTAATGGAAAAGGACCTCGACTTCGATGATGAAGTGAGTATTGAATTGATTGCCATTACTTTCAATTGTAGGAAATAGCGCTCATAAATAAAACTAAAACATAACTATTGTCTATCCGTTTTGTGCAATAATTGTATATTAAGTCAAACCCATAAATATAATTATATTAACTTTAAATTGATTTATCGTTGAGTGTATATAAAAACAATAAATGGCACACAATTTCATATAATTGTTAATTGAAATGTTGAAATGTGGTGCTATTTATATAACAATAAAGCTATTTTAAACTTAAATTAATTATCGATAATTGCTTATTAAACAAGAAATTCTAGTGCAAACTGTTTATATTGTTTTACACTCAAATTATTAGTAAATATTTGTTTAAGATATGATTTCTACACCTTATAAACAAGAGAAACAATTCTTGACACAAGAATAACCAGAATAAAGGTTTTCATACAAACCATACATTAAACAGATGCCGAGCCCTCACAACAGACACTAATTTGTGCTAAAACTAATAGAATATGAGTTTCAGCAAAATATAACATAACATTTATTATATGCTTCTGGATATGATATTCTCTGTACTTTTATCCCAAAAACATGCTTATAATAATACACTAGACTAAAAATGTAGACTAAAAATGATGCTAAATTAGTAACAAAAATTTAAACTACAGGCATATTGTCATTATGCTTGTATTGTCTGTAAATTAATTTAGAAATATTTTTGTCAAATATAAGACAAAATCCAATTTAAATTTAATTTTTTAACAAAAGTCTACAAAAACAAGAAAATAATCTCAAAGAAGATTTCAAAACACAATAATCCCAATACACAGACAGTTGTGTTATTACATTCAAAAGCTGACATTCATTGCAGAGCTGTTGTGCGAGAAATACACTTATAGTCTGTCAAACAAATTGAATTACAAATTGGAAAGTTTTCGCCAAAAACTCTGACCCAAAGCTCATTCAACACATATGTCAACACTTTTTGACACAAATTTTAAAAAGTTTTAATTAAATTGAAAGTCAATCGTAAAAATAGGCGATACATTATTTTTATGATAAGTTTTCCCTTTTGGATAATAACAAGCAATTGTGCGACAGATATATCATGTATTAAATTAGACAAATTACTGGTCGGCAGTAAAACAACGAATAAATTATAAATAATTTTTTTGTAGGAATTTGTTGAACCGGAGGGCGAGGAGAAGCACCTGAAGGGAGCGCTAATCGCACTGTTGGTTATCGGCATCATATGCTCACTCATCATACTTTCCATCGTAATATTAACGCCGTGTATAAAACATTTGCATTTAGTCTTATATTAATACAAATATATATTTCAAAATTAATATAAAACAATGTCTGTTTCGCAACCCTAACAGCCCATAGATCTCCGGAATTTAATAACGAAAGCTTTGAAATCGACGAGATTTTAAACAATGAATTCGCACCGCATTTGTTTAACGGCACATGGATTTCAGGTATTCACATACTTTTCAATTTAACATCGTTAAATTATTTTGAAATTCATGTCATGCTATCATATTTCTCACAACAATTTATAAATTTAAGACATTATATGATAAGAATTTGAAAGCATTGAGATTCTTATGGATGTAATTTGTGTCCCAATGTTGCATGTGACATTCTTGTAAAATATTAACTATTTATTTTAGATGTGAAATATTCAATTCATCATATATTTTATCAATTTATGTCTTTTAAAAATATGAGACTTTAATTTTATAGCGAGTCAGTGAAGAGGTGTCTTAACACATATCATCGTTGGCTATGAATTGATAGATAGTCTGTGACTTAAATATCATAAATATTTCACAGGAAAAGACAGACACAAAACGATATAAATAATTGAATTTTCAGTTACCACTCATTCATACCATAAGATGTTATTATAAACGCAAAGCACTTCACAACTGATGATCATTGAGAAATACACACAATATTATAAATGAATTATTAAAACTACTTTAAGCGATAAAACAAAATCAAACAAAACTAAAAATCTATTTCTATAAATCGCAAGAATCTCAACTAATATTTATTTAAAGAATTTGTAATTTTCTCATATAATTGTTAGACTAAAACAAAATGATTGTATAAATAATATAGTATTTAAATATTTAGGCCACGAATTCATATATAAACACCAAAACGAATCGTTAGTCTTATTTGACGCCAACACTAATAACATCACATCGATTCTCGTCCACAGCTATATTACTGTAAGTTATATAACATATACCAGTATTTGTTATTTAATAATCATTTGCATTTCATTACACATTTGCTTATGAATGCATCAAAAAATATATGCATTTTATATATATTAATCACTTATTGATTGAAAACACAACATCTAACTATAGAAAAGTCGTTTTGTATACTTATATATTGATATAACATTATTATTATTACACATAATATGCATATAAATACAGTATATTATAATCTTTCAGAAAATACAATCAAAAAAATGTAATATAAATTTTTGTCCCATTTTTAGAGACAATTTGATACTCAAAGGTATTCGCTATCGAGTGATAGAAGTTTTGTTTTATTAATTTCCGACAATAGAAAGGTATTGAATGAACACAAATAATCATTTGATATGTCAGACGACAACTCATATTAATTAATCAAACAAAACAATCAAACTTTTCCTTTGTCTTTGATTTTCCAGTCCTTTGACTTTGTTTTCGCCGCAAATTTCATCATTTATGACATCAAAAACGGGTCAGTCTTTAGCATAACATACTGTGTATTCTTTATATCTATAAATCTAATCTTCATATTAATTCACTTGTAGTTAATAAATATTCAATTTATGTTTAACAGGACTTCTATTAATAATGCATTTAAATTTACATTATATTTGAATACATAATTATAATATAACAGTAATTGATTAGTTATTAAGTAAATTATTAAGTAATTTATTATGAAAATTAATTTCTAATATTTAATCATCAATCAATGATATGTGTGTTTAGGAATATAATTCATTTGCAACAACTCATTGAAGACCAAAATAAGATATCAATACAATGGGCCGAATGGTCACCCGTTGGCAACGCTTTGGTAAACTTTCATTACATTTGCTTTTTCTCTCATTTGATTTTAATTACATAATTGACTGATTTTATTGATTTATTTAAGGTTTTCATAAATAATAATGACATTTATTATGTGCCATATATTGGAGCAAAAGTAAAATCCATTACAAACAATGGCAAAGAAGGCATAGTTTTCAATGGAATCGTCGACTTGTTATACAGAGGTTTGTAATTAATTCTCATTAAAGATTAGCATAACTTTAGATTGAATGCGAGATAAATCATTAGATTAATATTTTGAGTAAGTGAGAGAGTGAGTGAGTGAGAGAGAGAAAGAGAGAGAGAGAGAGAGAGAGAGAGAGAATAATTATATCTAATCATCAAAATTAATAATTTTAATAATATGCTGCTGTGCCATATGTATTCTCAATTTGACCATCACTAATCGCTGTTTGACATCAGCATGATATTTATAGATATAAAGCTTTATATTATATTATATTATACTGTACTGTACTTTACATCAATTACAATAAATAAATAATATAAATAAGAATATTCTTCAGAAATACCCATTTTTAGACAACAAATAAATTTTTACAAGATTATTGTTATATTTTATATAAACCATAATTTGTGATATATTTCTCACATCAAAAAGTTTATATTCCAAGACATTTGTATTTCATATTATAGTAAGTGTTCAGTAAATCATTGTTACCCCAAATTTGTCGACAATTTGCGAAACAATTTGATTTGAAAACAAAACTAGATTTTCTTTATGAATGCAAATATTATAACAGAAATGCTTTAAAAACAAAAAATCAAATATAAATGTCATTTAAAATTAGATTTACAAAGATCATTGTCAAAACCCATATCGAGTGATATATCACTGCATAATAATGTGTATAAAAACAAATTCTGTGCATTTCTTAGAGAGTATATCACCGAAAGAGTCGATGATGTGGTGGTCGAGAGACGGGACCAGCATTTTATACACAACGATCGACAACTCCGGTGTCGGCGACAACACTATTGTCTTCTACGGGAGTCTACACAACGAAAGTGACAGCAATTCACTGAAATATGTTAGATATAAATATCCTAAAGTGAGTCACAAATCCAATTAAAATAAGTGCACATAAAAATATAGTACATTAAAAAAGCTCTTAAAAAACATAATATCATTTAAAAATATTTATATATCTTTTTTGTATACGATTTGCAACTCTAATCGAAAGGCGCATCAAATTATACCGAAGACCTCGTTATGGGTTTTTAATTTCAATTCAAGTCTCGTAAAGCAAATAATACCACCGAAAGGCTTATTAAACAAAGACTTTTATGTGACTTTTGTTAATTGGATTAATGAGGAGAGAGTGACAGTTGTGTGGACTCCGAGAAACCAAAACAATTCAATCGTCAGTACGTGTGATAAGAGCGATGACTGGATGTGTAAAGAGGTATAACTTATACCGTATAAGAGAAAGAGAGTGTAAGACTCGTGGCGTGTCTTAAGTGCTTTGAATCGTTGAAAAGAAAATGCATTATTTTTATGCCATTCTCTCTCTCTCTCTCTCTCTCTCTCTCTCT